TAAAATTTTTGACTAAAAACAAAAATATATATAGAAAATAAAAAACTTAATTTTTTAAAAAGTAGGCCCAATTTTCTGAAACTAAACAAGATGAATGGAATTTAAAAAAAAATAAAAAAATAATAAAAAAATCATCAAAGCTAAAGAAAACTTGCTATTAAAATAATAATGCTAGGTTGACATATTTTTCTACCATAATTTGCTTATTATCTTATGTGTTAGCACTATGGCCCTGTTTGGTAGAGTTGTGGGAAAGTGTTTATAGCTTATGCCTCAACAGCTTATACCTTATAACTTTCAGCTTAAGCTGATTTCCAGCTTATTCTTAAAGCATCTCATGCTCCACTCAAAGAATAAGCTGATTTCTGACTTCCAAAAAGCTATAAGTTATAAGCTATAAGCTAAACTAAACACATCAAAATAGCTTAAATTAAGCTGAAAGCTGAAATAAGCTATAATTAAGCTCTGCCAAACAGGCACTATATGGAACTGGGGACGCTGCTGCGCATGTCGCGCAGCAGCGTCTGTTGTGCGGCGATTTGGGCCTATTTTGGAGCTCATTTTAATAATCTGAACTGTTCACATTTTAGAATACGTTAAGTAGAACATGACTGCAAAAAATCAAGTTAACTGGATATCATTTATCTATTCATCCACACACATTTGTATTCATTTTAATCAAGTTAAAATACATTTGTATTTATTTTTGTTGTTACAAATGTGAGTGGATGAATGGATAAACGATATCTGATTAACTTGATTTTTTGCAGGCATGTTCTACTTAACGTATTCTACAATGTGAACGGTTCGGATTATCAAAATGTGCTCCGAAATAGGCCCAAATCGCTGCACAGCAGACGCTGCTGCGCGGGCTGCGTAGCAGCGTCCCCACTTCCGCACGATATTAGTTTTAATGAGTGTCACTATTCATACTTATTATCAATATAGTATTCACACACCAAAAATAAATGAAAAAGAATGTGATAATCATAACATTTTTGAAAATCAAATTATTCTTGCAAGAGTTTAGTTTCAAAAGAAAAGTTATGAGTTCAATCATTCCTAAAATAAAATAGGATAAAAGAGACAAGCACTTAATACTTTATAATAGTGAAAAGACAGACTAACTTTAATCGATCAAAATAAAATCATAACATTTTTAGAGATTAAAATATGGGTAAAATACACTTACATCCTTAAGATTTGGGTTTAATACATATTATCCCCTGATGTTTGGGAAATTACATTGACCTCCCTATCATTGTTGTCACGACCCAAACCTACCCCTATAGGTTTAGCGTCGTAACCGGTCAATAATCTTCGGATTACCAAAGGCCTCTGAACAGAATAACATATAATTAGGGGTTGCAGAAGCAAATATATAAAATATGCGTAGTTCAATGAGATGTGCTGACATACATAGGACATAAATTTAAAACTTGTATAAAATATATACATATATGACGTCATATCCACATAATTCTTGTAACATCGTACAAGGTGTGCGGATGAACAAAAATGAACAAAACGTTCTTCACAAGACAAACTCTAAACATGGTATACAAAACTTGACCTTCTTAACGAGAACCTTCCCGGGAGGTATGGTAGCTGGTTGACTCCAAAACTCTTCAGGCAGCAGCTTATGCCTGGTTATGCGCATGCTTACCTATATGCATAATATAAACAATGAGTGGAAGCCCAATGAATAATAACAGAGTAAAGGGTTAAATGAATGATGTCCCACCAGATTCAGAAAATAGAAACAGATTTATGTTCATATTCTTGTTTGAATCATATACAGAATTCATAATTCATCCTTGATTATATATGGTACATCCATTAGTGCTAACAAATCAAATACAATGGCATTAAGGGTCATACTGATCAGTTCCATAAAGGAACCTTCGGTACCGGGAACAGATAACATGTTTGCTAATTTTACAAAGGAACCTCCAATATTGAGAACATATAACATACTTGTCAGTTCCATACAGGAACCTCCAGTACTTGGAACAGATAACATACTTGTTAGTTCCACACAGGAACCTCCAGTACGGGGAATAGATCATATACTTGAACCACGAAATTATTGCCATGAGTGCTTGTCAGAAACTGGACAATCATTCATTGTATAGAGCATAACATTTCATAAAACAGATCTTAGTCCACATACAAAAAATAAATAAAGTTGAACATAACTTTACTAAGTTATTACTCACAGATGGCTCCAAAGCAAACAATAGAGCAGACAAATCAAGTAACTTCAGCGCGTGAACTACACAGATACAGAACGAATACGTACTGAATTACACACAAGGAATTATTAACTGAGTTCTTTCTTCTTTAGGTGTGTTTCTACTTCTTATCCTTATTATTATGTCTTAACTAGGGCTTAGGAATGCCTAGGATGCAATGAGGATGCCAAAACATGCTATTCATACTTAGGCAAATATGTTGAAAACAGGGCCTCGCTCGAGCGCAACTTTCTTCGCTCGAGTGGAGGGTCAAAGTTGTGAGTGAACGCTCGAGCGCATATTCATTCGCTCGAGCGGTTTGTAAACTCTGCAAAAGTACTGGTTGCTTGATTTTTCCACTCGACGCATGCTCGATGGTCGCTCAAGCGTGAAACTGAGGTCTTCGCTCGAGCACAACTCTTGTCGCTCTAGTAATCTGCAAAATGTGTGAACTACTGGGAGCATGCAATTTACGCTCGAACCAACTTTTGGTCGCTCGAACGGAGGTGCGAAAACAAAGGTGGTTGCTCGAGCGTAGGATCTGTCGCTCGAGTGGAGAGATAGAATTTTGAGATTTCCAGATTGCACTCCCAAGCTCAAAACTCGAATTCAAAGCTAAAATTCATGATCTTTTAGGCCAAAAACTAAAGGAAACTTGTACAAACTTTTAAAACATGGTGAATTCAAAAGCATTTCGCAAAATTAAGCCCAAAAGCTTTGCCAATTGAACTAAACCAAACTTGAAATGGTGAAAACCATAACATTACACATCATACATATAAAGATGCAAAGTCAAAGCTTTCAAAACATGATCAAATGAGACAAATTGATGGAAAACAAGATGAATTCTCAAAACTAAGATAAAATGATAACATGCACGGAAGAATTCTTTGAAAACTTCCTCAAGATGCCATGATATATACATGAATACAAGGTATGATCTATATTCTTTCATTTTAGCTCAATTCTAGCATTACACAAAGAATTCATGGGCTAAGTGATTCAATTCTAAGGTTACAAGGTTGGATTCTTACCTAGAAGCCTTAATTCCCTTGATGCCTAGCAAGTCTTGCTCAATACCATCAATTCCTTGAATTTCCAAGCTCAATCCCTTGTTTGAACTCAATTCTCTCTCTCTCTCTCTCTCTCTCTCTCTCTCCCTCTCTCCCTCTCTCCACGTTCGAAGTCAAGAAGATGAGAAATAAAGTGATCTAAGGCTTAGCATTAGCCTTATATAAAGTCCACTAATTAAGTTATACATAATTAATCTAATTATTTGATCCCGAATCGAATTTTAATTAAACCCATCATAAAATTCTACAAATTCCAAATAACACATATATATCAGGTCAATTTTGTGATCGGATGCTGATAAGGCCTTCAATTCACAGAACAAAACAGAAATAGAAACAACTATGCCTAAGCAAAACAGATAGAATCTCATATGACACATCACACAAGCAATTAATGCAAAATTTCACCTTAATTACTTATTAGGCATCCTTAATTATGATTTAGCAGTTAATCCTGGGCCAGGGTTATTACAATTGTAATTATTTAGACGGAATTAACATTAGTATCAAAGAGACATTGAATTCATACATTTTCTCTTTTCTTGTTTTACTTTGTTTCTTTTGTTTTTTTTTTTTTTTTAATATAATTTTCTCTATTTTTCTACCAAGAGTTGTTACCTTTTATATAGGTAGAGAATTTGTAAAATAACACTATTAATCACAAGAATAAAATGTAATTTTTATAACGTTAAGGAATGAAATGTAATCGAATCAAACTTAAATGAGATGTCAGTGTGAGTTATCCTAAAAAATATCGAATCCACTTGCTTGAAAAGGGCCATCGCACAAACTTAGAGTTGAATAATAGTAGTAAATAAAAATAAAAAGTGATGACGTTTTTGCAAAGAGATGATCATGTGTTTTTAGGTCATGTTGTTGATTATCTTTTCAGTGCTGCTCTCCTAGTGGCACTTTGAGAAATTGGGTATTGCTAATCTTGATGAAAGCACCATTTTCTCAACAAAAACCTAAATTTACCTACCCACACACAATATTTTTGAAAAGTTGCACCGTACATCATCCGACCATACGTACCATTTTTAAAAAATAATAGAAAAAATACTATGTACTCGAAATAATATCTAAACAAATATCAAAATTTTAATTTTACAGTGTATGTTTAAATTTTGTGTTGTGTGAGTCAAATTCAAAATAACCCAGATTTACACATTTCGAAATTTGAATACTTGTTGAGTATTTATTTTATAGTACGTAATGATGTTGTTCGGAATTTAAATTTACACTATAAATTTAAATTCTTAACTTTTTTTGAGGGCTGGTTTTTTTTTGGTTTTTTGGGATTTTTTTGGGAATTTTTTTTTTTAGTTTTTTTTTTTTTTTTTTTTTTGCTTTTTGTGTTTTTAGGATAAAGTTATTAAAAGAGTTGTTTTTAAGATAAAGTAGAGGTGTGCATAAATTGATCTTGATACTCAATTATAAAATAAAACAAAAGTGGATACGCTTGATAAATACTATTAAAAAAAACTATTTTCTATTGAAGGCGGAAAAAAAACAATTCAAGCAACCCGATATATATACATGCACACTTTCTGTTTCTTTTTTTCGTTTTTTGTTTTGTTTTGTTTTGTTTTAATTTTTATGATCAAAATAATATTTATATTGATGTACTCCAAAGTACCTCACATGCCATATATAAATATACTTGACTAGAAACTAGATCATGACTACCCAGAAAAGAAAAAAATAAACTCTGATCACAGTAGCTAAATTCTTCCACTATTCATCGTCAAAGTCTCTCTTACCATACTTACTTCAAGCTCTTCTAGTTGTATTCAACCACACTATAGTTCCCTCTAAATTTTCTTTATCTGAAAGATGGCTAAAGAACAGAGACTTGAATGGAGAGTGAACATGCCGAACGGCACGTCAGAGAAGTTAGAGACAGAACATGGGTTTTTCTACAGAGTCTGGATGAGATTACAGGGTCTGTTTGAAAGGTTTTTCTTGAAAATATGGAGGTTTTTAGAGAAGGCTTGGAGTATAGGAGCCTCCGAACCTAAGAAGGTTGCCCATTGTCTCAAAGTAGGGTTGGCTCTATCTCTTGTTTCACTGTTTTATTACATGAGGCCTTTGTATGATGGTGTTGGAGGGAATGCTATGTGGGCAGTTATGACTGTTGTGGTTGTTTTTGAATACACAGTGGGTAAGTATCTATTTCAACTCCTTGCAATACATATCTCTATCTATCTATCGCTCTCTCTCTTTATGTGAATGGGTCTCTCTACGATGGCCTTACTATGGTAATCCAACATCTTATGTTTGAAGTTGAAGTAAAACTACGTCATTTTAGGATGTGTAATTTTAATGATTTTATTTTTATTTTAACTTGAATCATTAGATTATGTACTTTGTTTGCACGTTAAAAGACACAATAAGCCCGTTAGAAGAAAATCATGAAAAAAAAAAGAAAAAGAAGAACTGGACTAATTTATATGATAAGAATGCCTGGAGTTCTATCCTGACTAATCCCGAGGAGTATGTGTAATCACCACAGAGCTGGCTTTCGGCATAGGCAAGCAAGGCCAAGGCTCCAAAGTATTTTTATAACTAAAAATGTGAATGACGTAATATTTATTTGCTCAGTTTTTGTTTGGTTTTATACTATAGCAATGCTAGGTATCATAAAAAAACCAAATAATCATGAAAACTTTGTAATCCTTGGATTACACTTAGAATAAAGCACCACACACTAATCAAGGTAATCTAATGATCATAACTCTTTCATGAAAAAAATTTCATGGTCCTAACTTTTCCCTTTATATTATTAGTGTGTTTTTGTCCTTATTGTAAATTGGATTTTGTTATTTATGCAAGTGAAATTTTGTATGTAATTTTGGTAGTTATATATACAAACAAACTTCGTTTGTTTGTTTAATTATTGGTGTAAGTTTGAGGGCTGACCTCAAGGGCCAAGAAGTGGGGAATGGACCCCGAGCCATTGGTCCACCCACAGAACACTTCTCTCACTATAACTAACAAAAGCAACTGTAAACCGTACGTTGAACACTAATTTTCCAGGAAAATCCTATAAAAAAGAAAGATTCCGAGAAAATTTCAGTAGAGCAGGTAGACTAATTGATCTTTATTTTGATTGCAGGTGCAATGCTCTGCAAATGCGTTAACAGAGTAATTGGAACTTTTCTTGCTGCTTCTCTGGGTATTGGTGTTCACTGGGTTGCCACTCAATCTGGACAACAATTTGAGCCCATTATTCTCGGAGTTTCTGTTTTTCTTCTTGGTGTGTACTCGTCCTCTCTCTCTCATTTATTTTGGAAGCAAATTAGGGGTGCTAAAAGAGCCATCAATAGAAAGTTAAAAAGCTTATACAAGGATTTGAATTCAAGTGTGGTAGTAAAAATTATTTTTGAAAACAAACCAAATCTTTTTCTTTTTCCACAATTTTAAGGAACAAAAATGGAAATTGTGAAATATTGTTTTGAAAAATTAGTGAAAACATTTTTCATTTTTTTAAAATCTTGAAATTTTTAAAACTTCGTTTTTTTTTTTAAAAAAAAAAATGAAAACAGTTACCAAATGTGTTTTTGTTTTTGTTGCAGCTTCGGCAGCTACCTTCTCACGATTCATTCCATCGATCAAAGCTACCTTTGATTATGGTGCCATGATCTTCATCCTCACATTCAGCTTGGTGTCAATGTCGGGCTACCGAGTCGATGAATTGTTGGTGCTGGCACAAACCAGAGTATCGACAATCGGCATTGGAACCTCCATATGCATCTTCACAAGCATGCTCTTGTGTCCTGTTTGGGCAGGGAATGAGCTTCACCTTCTCATCATTCGAAATACCGAAAAACTTGCTGATTCCATAGATGGTATGCACATAGTTGTTTCATTCAAGCAAAACCATAAACACTTGATGCTCATATTGATATTAAAGGAAGTTGATACAAGTGGGATTTTAATTTTAAATTTTGAAATTCAGGGTGTGTAGCAGAGTACTTCAACAACAATGAAGATATCAACGTTAATGACACAGATTTGGGCAAGAAATTGCAAGGTTACAAATGCGCCCTTAATTCCAAGGCAGCAGAGGAATCCATGGTACGTGGCTTGGTCTCAGTTTCTTTTTGTAGGATACATAAAAATAAAAATAAATATGAAGAATGAGAGAGAGACGGAGTAATTTTTTGTAAATGTATACGAATGTGAGTTTTGTTCCTTACACCATAAGTTTAATGAACACGTCTATATGCTTAACGAACACATTAAACTAGATCGTTTTGACTTGATTAAAAAGAAAATTTGTATAATTAAACTTGATCGTTTTGGCTTTATTAAAAAGAAAATTTGTATAATTATGTAAAACTTGTAAGACTTATTACATTTTTTTATAAACATCATGGGTGGTCGATGTAACTTACCCAAAGTTTAAATAATAATATTGTGCATTTCCAACAGGCGAATCTTGCAAGATGGGAGCCTCCACATGGGCAATTCGATTTCCGACATCCCTGGAAACAGTACCTCAAGATTGGGGCTGCAATAAGAAACAGTGCTTTCTGTGTAGAGTCTCTCAGGAGTTGCATCAATTCAGAAATTCAGGTAACAATCTATCTTGTGATGTTTCTTAGCACTAATAAATTTTACTATGTCATTATTGCATTGCTTGGAGCTCAAATTCTTGATCCACCACAGGTGCCCGAGTTTCTAAAGAAGAACTTGAGCGACGCCTGCACAAGGTTGAGCTCACAGTGTTCCCAAGTCTTAAAAGAATTGTCAATGATGATGAAAACAATGACAAAGTCATCGAAGATAGATTTGTCAGTCGGAGAAATGAACATTGCAGTTCAAGAGCTTCAAAACGGGTTGAAATCTCTTCCCAACTCGCTACTGTTACCACCAATGCACGAAAATGACTCAAACAGACAACCAACTACAAAACAGTTTGCAGTGCCTCTCATAGATATTCTTCCAGTGGCCACAGCAGTGTCTTTGCTGACCGAAATCGCAGGAAGAATTGAAGGAATTGTCGAAGAAGTCAATATTCTAGCAGTTTTAGCCGAGTTCAAGTTCAAGGCTGCGAGTGATGAGAAATCCCAGCAAAACCAATCCAATACAGATAAAATTGATGATGATGGAACCATGAAGACCCCTTCAAAAGGTCTGAGTTCAACATAACTAGTTATTATGAATTTTCTGTTTGTTTCCCGAGAAACTGTAGTGTACACTATATAGAGCATGGTACCCCTAGTCCAGTAGTGTACTGGTAAATAAGTTGAGATCACAAGGGCAAGTTGAGGAATGAAAAAAGTAGGTTGATTTGTGAAACTCTCATCGGGTGCTTCAAGCAAAACTGCATGACAACACGAGCACCAACTTGTTTCTGTGTCCTCCTGCACCATGCAAATGAAATGAGTAATGTATCAGGGAAAAAAATATCATCAAAATAATTATGGAATATTTTTCATTTTTAGATTATATATATAATAAAATATCGGATAAGGGGTCACTGCTGTGCGTGAGGCACAACAGTGACTGTGGTGCATCTATTTGAGCTGTATTATGATCTTATTTCTATGATCCAAATCGTTCATTTTGTAGGGTTTGTTGAGTACTTCATGCCTACCAAAAATCATATTAATCGGATATCAACAACTATATGATCGAATTGCATATTATTTATGTTATTTCTCAAAATAAAACTTATTATTTATTTTTTTGATTATCGATCATATAGTTGTTGATATCCGATTAATATGATTTTTGGTAGGGATAAACCAAAAAAATAAATAATAAGTTTTATTTTGAGAAATAACATAAATAATATGCAATTCGATCATATAGTTGTTGATATCCGATTAATATGATTTTTGGTAGGCATGAAGTACTCAACAAACCCTACAAAATGGACGGTTTGGATCATAAAAATAAGGTCATAATACACTTCAAATAGATGCACCACAGTCACTGCTGTGCCTCACGCACAGCAGTGCCCCTTATGCTAAAATATCACATTCTAATTAAAGAATGAGAAATTTTTATGATGCATTTTATGATTATTTTTTTTATATTTTTTTATATTTTTTTAATTCCTAAGAGCATTTCTATCGGCTTACTTAAATTTTACATTAAAATATTATTAAAAAATTCATTCCTTATTTTAGGAATCACTTTTTCATCTACATTCTCTAACAAATTTCCTATTCTTTTTTTATTCTATTAAAATAATCTTTTTAATTATTTTTAAATTTAATATTTTTTTAATAATAAAATAATTAAACAATATAAATTAAAGTAAAAAATGAGGCTCACGGGCAATGCTTGAGCAAATGAGAGAGAGAGAGAGAGAGAGAGAGAGGTGTGAAAGCTTAAGTAAATGAGAGCAACAATGATTTAGACCACTAAAAAATACATCACTAATAACACTAATACATTGGAAATGACAAAAAAAATAATAAAAAAATAAAAATAAGGCATAGAAAGTGGGCGGGGCCCACTGCCATATCATTAGTGCTCCCTTTAGTGATCCCCTTTTAGTGCTCCCAAGCATTTTTCAAATGAGAGGCCCCTGGCCCAAGTCCCAAAGACAGCGCTTGAGCAAATGGAGGCTGAAAACTGATAGGGATAATTACAGAAGAAAGCAATAGAAGTAAAAGTCAGGGACCGGACGTCCGAGTGGACGACTAGTTAGGTCATTTTTGAGATTTTTCTTCATCACTTATAGGACACTCACAGACATCAGGGGATGTTCGAGGGGACGTCGAGGGGGGCATTTAGGGGACTTCTCATTTACACCTAAAACGAAATAAAATAAGAATTTATCAGATATAAGGGAGTTATAGTGACTCCCTACAAATAAGGTGTCACTGTAACAATCTTAAATTTAAAGAATAGTATAAAAGATATATTGGGGAAGAATTTGTGAAGAATTAACCCCTTATAATAGCAAAAAGTTATTATAAGAGAGCTGATAGGGATACTCTAATATCATTGTAATAGAATCTACGTAGTCAATGCTTACATCATTAAATTCTACCAGTAATGATTCAAACTCTCATAACCCCTATTCATTTGTGATTGGTCCAAGAAAAAATGAGAAAAAAAAAAATACAAATATATCATTGATCTACATTACTGTGGTGGTGGTGGGGTTTCCTCCAAACATTTTCCAAATTCCACTCATCGTGGTAAGAGATAAATTAGGTTACCATACACGTGGAATTCATTAACTGGTTGAGGAACCCTTCAATTTTGTTACATAATAAAATGACAAGGAGCTTCCAAATTAAAAAAATTCAGTGGACAGAGACTAATTTAGTTGATTTTTCAGTTTTTTATTAAAAAATTAGAGGCTAATTCGTGCAATGTATGAAAATTTGTTTTTAAAACAAAAAATTTAATACTTGAGTCTTAATTATTATGCTTGGTTATCATTTTTTAAAAACACTTTTTAAAAAATTCTACTTTCTTATTTTTCGTATTTTTTTGTTTTTACTGAATTTTTTTTAATATTTTGAGATTTTTTTTTTAATTTTTAGACATACCTGACATAAATATACCTAAAAAGTAAAAAAAATTGAAAAAAAACTTTTAAAAATTTACTAAATACCAAAAAAAAAAATACGAGAATTCAGTACATTTTTTATATTTTTATGTATTTATTAATTTTTTAAAATATTTTTTCACAAGTTTTTTACTTGTTAGATACATCTAAGTAAGATGCATCTAAAAAAGTAAAAAAAATGTTTAAAATTTTAAGAATATTCACTAAAAACAAAAAAATACGAAAATCAAAAAAATCAATTTTCAAAAAATTTAATTCAAAAAACTCAAACCAAACACACTGAATATTTTATATGTAAAAAATTTTAACAATTAAAAGTTAAATATAAACAAATTTGCTAAAAGTTAATGTGTATTTTCAACCTGAAATTAAATTTTCATTTGAGTTAATCAAATTTATCAAAAATCATTAATTCCACTTGTATCAAATTTTTTTTAAAAAAATAAAAATAATAATAACATAAAATTCTATAATATATAAATTATAACTTGGTTATAACTCCTGGTGTATTGTTTTAGTTATTAATCGAAAAGTTATTTGCTAATTTCTTATTTTTTTTATTATGTCTAAAATTATGCATCAGTTTTTTATTATGTTTCAAGTAATTTTTTATTATAATATATTTTTATATGACAATATTTAAATATTTTATTGCACGAAAAAATGCTTAACGTGGATTGACTCAAAGGTAGGATTTATGTTTATATCAGTAAAATCGTAAGAGTTATTCACATTGATGTATAAAAAATTATAAATTTAAATCATAGACAATGTTCTCAAAGGGAATCAAATACAAAATCTCTAAACCTTAATAATTTCTATACTCAAAAGGCGTTTTGATTAATTATGTGACGCGTCATAATAACTGTAAATTCTTTATTGTAGCCAAATTATTTGTTCATATCTTTTCTGACAGCGCTCACAATGGTGCATTATCAGTAATATTATAAAATCAAAATTTTTATTTAAAAATTATTCAAGAAACATTAATAAGTGCCTTAAATATACAAAATCATTTTTGATGAATCAGTATTCTTTAAAATAATACTTCACACTATTTATCATTTGACATTTATCAATTTATCTTCTAAAAACTTAACAAAAAGAGTATAGAGTCCAATTATTTTAATTAATCAATATAAAATTGGACGCTACACATGTATGTAAATCACTTCTAAGAAATAAGATGCCTAGCATAAAATCACAAAGGAGTTAATTTTAATTAATGTAATGCTATTTTATATTATGATATGTGTTACAAAGGAATAATATCATTTTAATTTAAAATAAAATTTAAATCTAAATTATTTATTTTAATAATATTAGCCTTATCATTGTATAAAAGTGTTACTTGAATACTTATATATCATAAATTTAGTTAAATTGTTTGTTGATTTTGATAATTTTAGTTCTATTGTGCTATAAAGGTGTAATTATCATATAATAATTTTATATGCTATATATTAAATTATAAGATAATAAAATAACACTGATTTTGACATTAAAAATAATAGTTAAATTAGAAAGAAAGTTAATAATATAATATTAAAAATGATTCTAATTATTTATATTTATATTTATTTGGATAATAAAAATATGTAGAAATAGAACTATATAAAATTTATTTAAAATATTAAATATAAATATGTTGTGATTGGATTAAAAAGAAAATACATAAATTAATTATGTAGAGTCTTCTGTTTGGTAGAGTTTTGAAACTTTAGTTCCACCCTTTGGTTTGCACGTGGTGTTTGTTTACAGTTTTTAAAAATTAATTCTACACTCACTTTTGAAAACTCTGTCTAAGACAGGAAAATTTGGACTAACCAGTCGTCTTCTTTGATGTCCGACTGATTGACCGGAATAATGCAAATTTTATTTTATTTTTATTTTTATTTTTACAATTGCCACCTGTTATTTTTTTTATATTTTAAATAAAAAAATTCAGGATTTTTTAAAATTTTTTATGAGCTTTGAATAGAATTTTGAATTATGTGTTTGGTTATGAGTTGTAAGTTTTTGTATTAAATATCATATGTCACATCAAAAATTTCTCACTTAATTCAAAACTCTTTTCAAAACTTATTCGCCAAACAAATTTTTCACACTCAAATCATAATTTCAAAATTCACAAATTCAAAATACAAATCCTATTCTCAAATCATATTTAGAAAACTCTACCAAACACAACCGATTTTTTCTTTAATATTACTTTTCAATTATTCATACATATTGTATATAGGTATATAAAATTTAAATTAAATATAAATATTTTGTAATAAATAATTTCATGTTAAATAAAAAATTAAATATAAATTAATATTAAGACATCAATAAGATTGATACAAAAATAAAAAATAAAAATTAATTTGATTTGTGCAATGCACATTATTAAGTATATTCTGTCTGATTTATTTATTTGTTTGTTTATCCAAATAATTTTTTTTTTCAAATATCATAGTAATTAAATTATAATTATATATATGAAAAATAAGTATTTATCAAATAAAGTTCATATAAAATTGGTTATTATAATTGAAATTGAATTTTTGTGTAGTTTTATATGTAAATGAAAAGTCATGTTAATGTGATTTTTTAGGAAAATGTAAAATTTTAAAATGTGCCACCTAAGTAAGGGAATCTGGACAATTGTAGAAAAATGCTCTTGTCCTTTATCTTCTTCCAAAGTGATAGAAGGACAAGACATAAATAAGGGCACTCAGTCCTTAAGTTCAAATCTCAATTTTATTTGTTCAAAAGTCCAAGCGTTTAAATATTTTGTCCAAAAGGACAAAGTCCTGTAAATGACCAAACTACCCAATTATATATATATACCATACGGTCTTAGTCTCAAACAATAATAACACACTCTCTCTCTATCATTGCCATCTCTCTCTCATGGGACTCATGTTAAGTGATGAAACTTACATATATACCTTATATATTAATTAATATATTAATTGATATATTAATTAGTATTTGTAGCACTCCTTCATTTAATAATGTCCTCCTCAAGTAAGAAATCAAGGTGCAAAATAACTCCCCCTCAAAGTAATGACGAGTTGGCGTTTGATTTGAAAGGTTGTTGTAGATAGCACCTAAACAAGTTTTTTTGGACTCCCATCCTTCATAATTTTTTTATTATAATTCTACCCTCTCATTAAATTTGATTTCTACCGGCATTCATACCATCTAAACCCTAACCTTAATCACCTTACGCTTTAACCACTACCCATCTTCACCATCTCCAGCCATCACTACTATCTCTGACCGTTACCCTGAGCTTTTCCTACCTCTAGCCATTACCCTCAGTCCATTCCCACCATCACCAACCTTCTCTGTTCTCCACTGTTATCACCCAACCTATCACCACCTCTCCCTGCCACTACCATTGCCCAAGGAGAGAGAGAGAGAGAGAGAGAGAGAGAGAGAGATGGGGGATCACAACAGGAATGAAAAATGAAATGAAAAGAAAAATGAAGGGGCTTGTAATAGGAGATGGATGAGAGGGGTTAGGCAGTGGTTGGGGAGAGGAGAATGTACGGGTTGTGAAAGAGAGAAGAGTAGCGAGGACAGTTTGGGGGTGCTTAGAAAGGTCAAAAAGGATTGGAAAGAGATTGATGAGGGTGGGAAAGGGCTGCCAGAGGTGGTGGTGGTGGCAATTGTGGGTGGCAAGGGTTAGGGTTTCAAAATGGTGGGGATGAGAGCAAAATTGGGATTAAGGTAGGTGTTCAAAGAAAAGAAAAAAAAAGTGAGGATTAATGTAGGTGGGTGGGGATTCAAAGAAATGAGAGGTCAAAGAAGTTATGTAATATAGCATGATCCAATTTAAAATGATCTATTCTTTTGCTTATAGACCATTTTGTCCTTGATTTATATTTGATTTCTTAACAAATTTTATTAATTAAACTAAATTAACACTGTGAAAGCTAAAGATAAAATTGATACAATTGAAATTATAAGAACTAAATTAATGTAAGATACAAATTATAAAAATTACGAATATAATTTATCTTAAAATATACAATGATAAATCAGAAAAATATAATGTGAGAGTGGGATAATCACACAAGATCTTCCTCTTACCTCGAAAAGGCAAATAAATACATGTTAAAATATTAATAAATATTAAACTTAATAAGACAAGGTAAGCTTTATGTTAATGGAGTCTTCATTTGATTTTTTTTACTCATTTTGGTGACCTAGTGAAAAAGATGCTCCATTGGGATTATGGAGTGGCATTGGTGATAACCTTATCAGCCATCCCACAAGTAAATATCATATGCAGTGTGTAAGCTCCACTCTCAATAGTCATACTCTTGTTGGTGCATAAAATCAACATGTTATTTCAATATTAATATTATTGTGTGGAATTCCATCGAAGCCTTGGGTACACTATATTAGCTACATCCCACTAGTTGAGTTACCAATATAACACTATATTAGCTACATCCCACTAGCTGAGTTGCCAATATAACTATTATTGTAGATATTGGTGGAATATTAAGTGAAAAGTGATTTTATTTTTTATTTATTTTTATTTTTATTTTTATTGTTTAGATGTCCATATTAATTTATGTGCATCTTGATTAAACCTGAAATCCACACAAAGCTCTTCCTCTACGTAAATAAAGCAAATCTTGGATAGAATTTGTAAGTGTGAACCCAAAGAATTGATAGTACTTAGGTAGAGTTGAACCTAAGACCTGAATAGAGCACACCTTAGGTTCTAAGTTGTAGTCATTAGACCAACCCCATAAAATTGTGAAAAGTGAAAAGTTAGAGACAACCTGGAATAAATGGGCACTACAAAAATTTCAGGTTTTGCGACAGCAAAATGCCGTCGCTAATACTTCTAATGCCGTCTCAAAAAACTTTTAGCAACGACAAATGATTTTTAGCGACGGCAAAGGGAGGTCACAACAAAGCGTTGCAAAAAAGTTTTTTTTGCGACGGCAATTATTGCCTCTTGTGACAGCATTTTACTATCGCCTATAATATATAAAAAATTGAGATCTTTTGCGATGACATTGTTTTACCGTCGCTAAAAGTTTTATTTGAGACGACAAAAAATACTGTCACAAATTGTTTTTTGTGGCAACAGCATGACCACTGTCGCCAATGGTTCTAATGTTTTTCGTGACGGTGTCGTGCCGTCGCAAAAAAAAATAAAAAATAAAATAAAATAAAATAATTAAAAATATTAAAATTACCTATATTAAATGAAAAACAATTGGAAAAGAAACTAATAATTGCATAATAATATAAAAATTCCTGTATAAAAATAACAATTTCTCCATAACAAAAATATTTTTGCATTCATAACTACACATCAACAAAATTATCCCATTACAAAATGTTCCATAATACATATATAATATTTAAATACATAATGTTTTTTATAATTCAAAATAACATAAACCAAAATTAAAAGTTTTCCTCATCATTCTCTTTGGGTAACAAAAACAAAAGTTAGTCGTATTCTTCACAAGCATGCATTCCACAAGAAACAAACTCCTACTCGGGAAATATCTGAAAACAGAAAATAAAAATAATTAATGACAATATAATTATGTGTTAATATGCTAATTACAAAAAAACATAAAAATTTAACTACTATACAATTACAAAGATAATTAAGTAAATAATTTTGCCTAGATCGAAATCCAGAACTAACTCCCAAACTACGAACCTGATTCGAGTCTCATTTTCTCACATAAGTCACTTGTGCCTAAGCAGTCGTGTGTGCTAAGTTTCGTGCTAATCCGACAACGTTTGGTGATTTTGGGGTGTCAAAACCTTGAATTCTAAGTTTTTTAAAGAACTAGTTTGCCTAAATTGAAATCCGGCTCTAACTCCCAAACCGGGAACCTGATTCGAGTCCTGTCTTCTCCCACAAGTCTCTCGTACCAAGGCGGTCGAGTGTCCCAAGTTTCGTGCTAATCTGACAGCGTTTGGTGATTTTGGGGCATCAATATCTCGAATTCTAAGTTTCTTAAAGAACTAGATTGGCTAGAGTGAAATCCGTCTCTAACTCTCAAATCGAGAACCCGATTCGAGTCCTGTTTTCTCCCACAAGTCTCTTATGCCTAGGCGGTCATGTGTGCCAAGTTTCGTGCTAATCTGACGCTGTTTGGTGATTTTGTGACGTTAACATCTCGAATTCTAGATTTCTTAAGGAACTAGTTTGCCTAGATCGTGATCCAACTCTAACTCCCAAACCGGGAACCCGATTCGAGTCTCGTCTTCTCCCACAAGTCTTTCATGCCTAGGCGGTCGTGTATGCCAAGTTTCGTGCTAATCCAACGCCGTTTGGTGATTTTGGGGGCGTCAACACCTCGAATTCTAAATTTCTTAAAAAACTAGTTTGCCTAGAGTGAAATTCAGCTCTAACTCCCAAACTGGAAACTCGATTCGAGTCCCGTCTTCTCCCACAAGTCTCTCTTGCCTAGGCGGTCGTGTGTGTCAAGTGTCGTGCTACTCCGACGCCCTTTGGTGATTTTGAGGCATTAACACTTCGAATTCTAAGTTTCTTAAGAAATTAGTTTGTCTAGAGTGAAATCCTTCTCCAACTGCCAAATCAGGAACCCAATTTGAGGCCAGTTTTCTCCCATAAGTCTGTTGTGCCTAGACGGTCATGTGTGCTAAGTTTCGTGCTACTCCAACGCCGTTTGGTAATTTTGGAGCGTTAACACCTCGAATTCAAAGTTTCTTAAGAAACTAGTGTGTCTAGAGTGAATCAAACTCTAACTCCCAAATCGGGAACCCGATTCGAGTCCCATCGTCTCTCACAAGTCTCTAGTGCTTAGACGGTTGTATGTGTCAAGTTTCGTGCTAATTCGACACCATTTGGTGATTTTGGGGCATCAACACCTCGAATTCTAAATTTCTTAAGAAACTAGTTTGCCTAAAGTGAAATTCGACACTAACTCCCAAATCGAGAACCCGATTCAAGTCCTGTCTTCTCCCACAAGTCTCTCGTGCCTAGACGGGCGTGTGTGCCAGGTTTCATGCTACTCTAACGCAGTTTGATGATTTTGGGACGTTAACACCTCGAATTCTAAGTTTCTTAAGACACTAATTTGTCTAGAGTGAAATCAAGTTCTAACTCCCAAATCGGGAACCCGATTCGAGTCCCGTCTTCTCTTACAAGTCTCTTGTGCCTAGGCAGTCGTGTGTGCCAAGTTTCGTGCTAATTCAACACCATTTGGTGATTTTGGGGCATCAACACCTCGAATTCTAAATTTCTTAAGAAACCAGTTTGCCTAAAGTGAAATTTGGCACTACCTAAATCGGGAACCCGATTCAAGTCCCGTCTTCTCCCACAAGTCTCCCGTGCCTAGACGGTTGTGTGTGCTAGGTTTCATGCTACTCTAACACAGTTTGGTGATTTTGGGGCGTTAACACATCGAATTCTAAGTTTTTTAAGAAACTAGTTTGTCTAGAGTGAAATCCGGCTCTAACTCCCAAATCGGGAACCCGATTCGAGTCCCGTCTTCTCCCACAAGTCTCTCATGCCTAGGCGGTCGTGTGTGTCAAGTGTCGTGCTACTCTGACGCCCTTTGGTGATTTTGAGGCATTAACACTTCGAATTCTAAATTTCTTAAGAAATTAGTTTGTCTAAAGTGAAATCCTTCTCCAACTGCCAAATCAGGAACCCGATTTGAGGCCAGTTTTCTCCCATAAGTCTGTTGTGCCTAGACGGTCGTGTGTGCCAAGTTTCGTGCTACTCCAATGCCGTTTGGTAATTTTGGGGCGTTAACACCTCGAATTCAAAGTTTCTTAAGAAACTAGTGTGTCTAGAGTGAATCAAACTCTAACTCCCAAATCGGGAACCCGATTCGAGTCCCATCGTCTCTCACAAGTCTCTTGTGCCTAGACGGTTGTATGTGTCAAGTTTCGTGCTAATTCGACACCATTTGGTGATTTTGGGCCGTCAACACCTCGAAAAAACATGTTTGGTGGTTAACAAAAAACATGTTTGGTTGGTCCTGAAACATTATAGGGCCATGTCCCAGGCCAATCACAAACCTACATTCAATGAAAAGACATCCATTCTCCCTAGCAAAGTCAATTCCCTCTTTTTTATTGACAACCTTTTGACTTTCCTAGCAAAGGAATAGTTGAGAGGCTGAGTGCACCTTTATTTTGCGCAAACTTCATCATACTATCCAGTATCCAATAATGCAACATTGGATCATAAATTTGGGAGACAAAGCAAAATTTAACACAATTTCTCAGAAACTAAGTAATTTTATTTGATTTCTCCTAGCACATGCTTAAGTTGAAAGAATTCTAAATAAAACTTTTGCATGATGTATCTTATCAATCTTGTTGCCAAGAAGCATCTTGATGCAATCTTAATTTGTTAAGTACAGGTCATTTCTTTAGCCCACACATCAGATAGATTTGTAAATGTTTCTTGCCGTGTTACAACATAAACTGTTCAATTCCAAAGTCAATTAGGTTCATTGAATATGTGAAGCGTTCAAAATCTTTGAGATGAGGAGACTGTGTGAAAGAATTCAGAAAAACTACTTGCAGTGATCAGGTAATGTAAATCTTATATAGTTATTTAGTAATAAAAAAAATAACAATTACCAGTAAAAATGCTTATAATATTAAACTAAAATACAAAAGAACTTTACCAAACTTCAACCCACACACATTCCGACAAATAAAAGTCCCTTAAGAAAGTGACAAGTACCAGAGAGGAGATTTATCAGAGCACATAGATAAAGAATTACCACAACTACACAAAGAAAACTCAATTTCCTCAATTAGTTATCAGAGATATTGTACTCTCTTATCTCAAATGCTGCAATAGAATGCAACTCCTTTGTTCTTACACAGCCAACATGATCAGTGTTTTAATTCTAACATCATGATGTAGTGTGTGATGCCCCAAAAGTTCTAAGAGAACCAATTGATTGGGATTTAAACATTAAGAGACTGAGGCCTACACAAGTTATGCAAGAAACATGGGGCTTCTTGATCTCTCCTAATAAGGTAACTCAAATGTTAAAACTCTGAGATGTGCAAGTATCTAATCTTCGAAATAAATACATAAAACTCAACTCAACAAAATCTGCTCCCAACTATTTCTTTCGCTAGTTGTCTGTCCTAGGCCATAACTCTCATAAGAAATTAATAAATAGATAAAAATAGTTAGACAGCAATACAACACAAAACATTGTCAGTCCACTAAGAATCTTAGACAAGTTAGCAGCCAAAAAAATGTGCAGATTGCGTATGAATCAATTATGGATAGCTTACATACCATATGTAAATTAGACCTGATGTGGCACACATAAACAGCTGCACATTTTGACAAACTAAAATAAATACAAAGACAACAATTCAGTGTCCAAACTCTTACACTTAACTATATCCACTGCATAATGAATAGACTATTTTGTTCATTTGGGTCATAGTTTTAAAAAATTACCCATATGCAGAAGTTCTTGCCAAATGATTCTATCTCAACTTTAATAACTCAGAAGGTTGTGACTGGATAACCAATATACATGATGAGGAACACTGCAAAAGGAAAAAACGAGGAAGGAGGAGAGGGACACTACAACCAGTCACAAAATATCAAGCTCCATGTGCATAACTTAAGGATTTTGTCATACAAAAAGTAACACTGAAGGCACATATGTCAAAATTAAATCGATACAGAAAGGGACTACAGTTAGATAAACAATGAAGAACTAGAGAATTTACCCATTATTATTCCTTTACCTCCTCTATAATATGAACTAGTTAGTGTTCTGAATCTTTCCTGTCCAACTGCACCATGATAAATAAAACAATTTTAACCAAACAAACCTTTTTTAGTAGACGGTATGAACATTGACAAATCCAATTCTTGCATTGAGTTTGAGCATTAACCTCAAAAAGTGAACCAAAGCAAGAAACTTTCCCATCCTAACAAATGCTCCATTTTCCTGCCATATTAATGTTACAAGTTCTTAACTGCATGGAGCAACATAATAATAAACAGTTCTATACTCTCTGTTTGCTTCCACTCTCTTCTTTTCCCCCCTCATTTACTCTTAGAGACAAGAATTTTATTAGAGAACAAAATGATAGTACATTGGAATTTGGGCCTCCCTCTAGGCACAGTTTCATAAGTGCTTAGAATTTCACATATGTTTCGCTGCACACATTTAATAAACCTAAGGCTGCATTACATTTCATCCTAACCACGGAATTTACTTCTTGGCGCCAAACTCATAAATATTTTGCTATTTTAGGCATCCCAATAACTATCTTTGCAACAAGGATTCATAATTTTGAATAATACAATTTATGTTTCTAGTTTGTTTAACTTCTTCTTCTTTTTTCTTTTTTTTTTTCTTTCTAATTTAATCATCAAATAATCTGTCTCTTTCTTAATTCTACATTGCTATACTTTATCCTACAAGGACCAACAGATTATAATGAAGTAGGAAGTAGGATGATCTAATAATATCCATATACATTTCCCACATGCTTCCCAATCTTCTTACTAGTCAAGCCCAAGGGGTCATATCACATGCACAATAGTAATTTGGAAACCACATATTATGCATACTCACAAAAGTTTCTGGTATTAAGCATAAAAAACATTAAGGTTATGAAAGGGAAAATTCTAGGATTTTAAAAGAAAACAAAACATAGAGTAAAAGAGGGCCAGCAGAGAGCAGAAGAACAACAAAGGCAACAACTGTAAGAATTTATTCTTAATTAGGCTGTCATTGACTATATTTTGTTTGGTTTGTAAAAAACGGGTTGAACGTGATTCAGATAGATTGACTGGTATGAGCCCAAAATTATTATTGTGATCCATAAAGTTTGGGCCATGGTCATCTTAGTGTATATATTATTTTATATGTGGATATGTGATATGGAGGTGTAAGGCTTGTTTTAAGTTATTTGAGTTCCTTAATGGGAGGGCCCAGTAATTGTTTTATTTAGGCCCAGTCCCCTCTCCTATCCTTATTAGGGTTTACATATATCTATATATATGTAGATCAAAGGGTTGTCAGCCCCATTGAAAAGACAACAAAAAGATTAGGAGGAGGAGGGGAGGAGCTGGTGCTAAAGTTTTCCAATTGTAAATGCCATCCAATTGTGAATGCCATATTCTTTCAAGGAAGCAAAACTCCAGACAATAACGGAATCAAACGGTATGTATCTGAGTTTATATTTTAGTAGTTACTTTTATTCATAGTGTTTTGATTTCTAGTATATAGATCCTATAATCTAACATGTGGTATCAGAGCAAGTTTATACTAGAATCAAAATCATGGCAGATTATTTCAGTAAAATTATTTTATAATTATAAGGAATAAATTAATATTTCTTTTACTGAATGATGTTTTTGCATCTCAAAATTGTGCTTTAGTAATTTCAAGCAAACTTTTTCAATGTAACGAGTACATACTGTTTGAGTATTGATAGTTTGCTTCCAATTGTATTATATAAAATAAAAATAAAAATAAAGTAATTTAGATCTGGTAGTTTTACGAAAATTGTGAAGTATGGATGTGTGTATATTGAATCTATATTGATATATATATATATATATTTCAAATCTTACCTAATCAAATATTTGCAAAACATATGAAACATATTCATTTTTATGACTTTTACATAAACATTAAGATTGTTTAAGAGTTCTACATCATGTATATCACTTTGGTGTATTTTTTGTAAATTCATATGCGAATTTTGGTTGGCCGTGAGCTATTATTTTTGAGTAACTGTTTAGTAGTGATTCGTAATATGATATTATATATGCTTTGATGGGTTACAGATTGCATAAATAAATAAAGTTTTAAAGGTGGACAAATATTTATTTTGTAGTCTCAGTTGGAAAATTTTTGAATCAATATGGGTGATACTGCCGAAGTGGTTAACTTATTGAGATTTAAAGTGATTTACCAATAAGGATTCTGGGAAGCTTTTCTAATATTATATCACTCAATTACCTACCCAAAGGGGGTTAATTGAGTGTATTAATTTTAGAGGTAGTGTGAGCCGCTAGTAAGGGAAATTTTATTGTTTTTGAAAGAATTTATCTACCCAAAGGAGATAATTTCTTGATAAATCATTCTTGCTAGTTGACTTGTTTATAGGTGTTAGAATGTGTCTTATATATTTAGCCCAAAGGTATTTATATGATGATACATTCTGAAACATCTAACAAGATTGTTAAAGTTTATTTGCAGCCCATTGTTGTGAGATTATAATTATTGCCCAAATATAATTAATTAAGATTATATTAAAGTTTAAAGATGTTGATTGTATTCTATATATTCAATCCAAAGGTGTTTATATAGTGATACATTCTGGCACATCTGAGAATATTGCTAAAGTTTATTCGCAGCATATTCTTGTGAGATTATACTAATTGCCTATGTATAATTGAAAGTTGGAGTTGTGAACATGCTTTCTATATATTCAGTTTAAGAGTGATATATTTTAAATATTTGAGAATATTAATAGTGATTATGAGATTATTATTGTCTATATATAATTGAATGATATTATATTGAATTGAAAGCAATGAAGGGAGATGTTTTTATAAAAATCAAATTTACTCCATTAAAGTTTTGATTATGAATCGGTTAAAAGATATTGAGTTAGCTTTAAGACTAACTGATTTAGATATTAACATACTCGAGAATGTGTCTTCTTAACCATTTATATTAAGAGCTCAATATAGTGTGAAAGATTGAAATTATATTCAATGTTAACTATTTAAGAAAGTGGAGTTTTAAAATATTCACTAAGTGATTCTTATAAGAAAATCTAAATTATACTCTACAATGCTCTATATAATACCTTCGACTTTTACAAATCGTTATCTCTCTTCAATATCATGCTTGTAACTTCGAAAGAAAGTTGAGTACTTGAGTGTCGTAATTGGACTTCAATAAAATGATGAGGTGTATGATAACATGTTTAAATTATACAAGTTTTTGTGATAAAATATTTTAATTACTATGTATACTTATGTATACTTTATAGATGGTACTAAGTTAAAAATATTTTTAAAACACTTTTGAATTACGAACTAATATAAAATTTAGTTAGAATAACTTTTGAGTTTGGGATTGTACAGAAGTAAAAAATTTTATGATATATTTTTTAAATCAAAAAGGGATCTATAGCTATTTATTGTTACTTTGTAAGTTGTCAATGGTTCTATTATCTTGCTTCTGACATAAGAATCTTTTAAGTTTTTAAAATGTGAAGTTATTAGATTGGTGAACAATTTAAATATATAAATCTTCATGTATACTTGTGCCTATTATAATAAATTGGTCCGTTCATTCTCACATAGAGAAAGTGAGAGTGCAAGTAGAATCTGAAGTGTCTATTCAGTCTATTGATAAAAGTTGAACATGTATGACATGTGCAACCTTCTAGACATTCTCATACAATTAAAAGATCCTTGCGATTATATTATTTTTCTAAATGAGCAATATCAAGAGATTGAAGAGATGATTGTTACGTATGATGAAGATATTAGCGTTTTGTAATATAGTAAATGAATTGGTACAAATTATTAATTAGATATAAGATCATGTTATACCTTTTTAAAAGTTTGAAATCTAATGAGTATTTTTTTTTAAAAAAAGATAAATAAATAAATACAATGCTATTGCAAGAGGTTGTGATTTGAAAAGAGTATTGTTCTTACCAATGTCATAAATATAGGTTTATAATTATTATGGTGGTATTGTAACATTTTTATCTTTTGCTTCGCTAAACAAAATAAATTTGATTTGTAAGTTAAACAAATTTATCTATGGTTTTAAACGAATTTCTGAGTAATGATATTTAAAGGTTCACCAAATATTATTACTTGGCTTTATGGATAATACTATTAATTTATACATACATCTCAAGGTTAGTGGGAGCAATTTATTTTTCTTGATCCTTTATACCGATGGAATTTTACTTCCTAGTAATAATTTCGAATTAATACTTGATATGAAGATATTGTTGTTAATAAATTTTTAGTATAAAATATCTTGATAAAGTATTTTGTGTTTGGCATTGAAATACTAGAAAAATAACTCAGAGGATTATTTGTCCCATTGAAAGTTGGAGTTGTGAATCACATTTCTTACTGAAATTTTAATATGCAAAATTGAAAGCTTTACGTTGCTCTTCTTAATGATCGAGATTAATTAAGTAACATTCAGTATTTCATAAAATGATTTTGAGAAAAAGGTTCATGAGGAATGATATTGCTGCGTGCTTTGATGTGTTTTGGGGTGAATTATGAGCTTTGACATTAAACTATAGGTAAGCAATCTAGTTGTGTTAGACTTATTATTTTATTTTAGCTTGACGCATTGGATTGAAGACATAAATGTCTCGTCTTGATATGTAAGGACATTAAAGATTATACAATTAGCTATGGAAGAATTAATCATGTTAATATTATTGGTGTGTATAATGTCGACTTTGGAAGTTGCTCAAATGATATATAGCGTCTGTTACTGGTTACATTTTTTTATGTTTGCATGAGATCTTGGTTTCATGAAAGAGTTTTATAAAAATCTCTTATAATTTTTCACTATACAAACATGTTTTAGAGTTCGACTTGAGTTTACGTAATTAAAGAATTTTATTCAGAGTTTGGAATTGTTATTTCATCTCCAAACTATAAGATGTATTATGATATAATGGTTTTAATTTTTTTATGAGAATAACAAAACTCTGATGGTGTTAAATACATAATTTTAAAGTATTTCAGATTACAGAGTTGGTTAAAGATGATATTTTTTATGAGCACATGTTATAGAAATAATACTAGTTGATCGTCTAAATATAGGGCTTAGGCCAAATTTTAGTTTACTAAATATATTGAGCATATGGGTACTTTACAGTTTTTTATGTGCTTGGTTAAAGAAATTTTTTTTTACCCATGAATATTATTTATGGTGTATTTCAGTTAATAAAGTTTACTGTGTTTATTCACATTTTGTTTATAGTTATGTGTGTACACATAAATGGTAACTGTTATGTATGTATCCGTCTTATATGAGCTCTTACAGTTATATTTAAATTTTGAGATATAAAGATTGACACTTTAACTTAGAAGTGTATTATGCTTCGGTTTAGAAGTGTATATGGATCTATAAAGTCTGATGCTTGGTTTAAAGCATGAATCACCTTGGTTTAGAGGTGTAAAGGCTTCTTTTAGAAGTGGAGAAAGGAATGAAATTCCTTGCAGGGTCTTGTCAAGACCATACAGAGGACTGAATGTGGAATTAGCATGTTATATAATTTTTGGATCAATTATGCTGAAATTCCACACTACACTTTATCACATATAGGAATCCATGTTGGTGAGATATTAGTGTTTGTAATTGTGGAAGGTGTTGTGTTGGTCAATAGCATAATTACCGCTACAGTTCGATATTAATATTTCTCATTGAACGGGATTCTGTACTGAGATGTTTTTATTCTGAATCATGTTTATGTGGCCACTAAAGTTGTTTAACCCGAGAGTCATTTTTTCTTAAATAAAATATTTTCTTAAAGTAGTAGTCAATGTTGCCTAAGTGGGAGAATGTAAGAATTTATTCTTAATTAGGCTGTCATTGACTATATTTTGTTTGGTTTGTAAAA